CACCAGTGAATACAACAAGTAAGCGCTGTAATCCATGTGACACTGCCGTGGGAAGGGGAGGGGTTCTGTCAGATGAGACCATGGAAATTATTGCCCAGCATACCACTCTTACAGTTGTCTTGCAGTGATGGTGTTGCAATCAATTTCCTTCCCTGTTGCAAGGACTCAGTGCTCACATATGGCCTCCAGGTTGTGCTGGGAGGAGACAGCATTGATTGGTAGCTAGAGCGCACAAACAAGAGATGGGACAGCTGGGTGGTTCTTGGCTGTTATGTTATGCAGCCACATAATCTCTATGCCTCTGTTTTTCTGCCTGTAAAACAGGGCTAATAACATTATATGCTCACCTTTTGTATAGCTTCAAGATGAATAGTTGTAAAGTTTCTAAAATGTAACAATTTGGAAGAGAAACTGCCCTTTTTGTGGCATCCCATAGTCTGAAAGCTTACGGGGTAAGGAGCGCTGTTCACCTTGAACACGGCATGTAGTGTAAACCCTTAATGACAATGGGCATTTCTGTGGAGACTGCCACCTTGCTGGGAATCACTGTGGTTTATGGGGACATTAGGGACGTGAGAGGTCAGCAGAGGAAGCTGTGAAGCAGTGACACAGGAAAGACTGGACAATTGTGATTCCTTCAATGCATTTGCTTTGCACTCTTCATCATAGGACTTGGCTTGTGACAACAGCAACATCAAGACTGTTGATATTGTTACAAGCATTCCTCTCAGCAGTGCCAGTAGTCGATGAAAACATTGCTAAAATAGATGTCTATTCCTGGCATAGAATGCTGTTTGCTCTGGGAACTTCCAGGCCATTGAGCTGAGCAAACAAGGTAGCTTCTTGTAACAAAGCACTTTTTTAAAAGGTTTAGAGCATTTTTGGAAGGTCATCAGGCAAGGAAGGAATGAGGGTGTTAACATACTGGAATTTATAAGGCTTCTGTAACTCCAGGGACAAGGATCATGTGATCTGTTTAGCACTCCAAGCATTGTGCTAGCATTTTTAGTTGCTGTAGAGTATGTTGACATCTAGCAAGTGAAATTGTATTTACCAGGTAGGGCAAGTTAGAGTAATTCAAGCCTCTTTGATGCAATAGTTCCCAGAACACATCTTTCTTTGAGTGTTTGGACGCTTTCTTTAACTTGAGGCTGTTTCATTCTTGTTTCCAATGATGGGACTTGGGATTTCTTCGGTTTAGTATTCCCCATTTTTATGGGAAAGATGAGCTATAAGACAAGGCAGACAGAAGAGAGTGGGAACTGCAGAATCTCTCAATTTTCTATATGCAGTTTTATATAGAAAAAGGTGAGATGTTTAGGCTGGAGGGAGGGTGCAGACCATCAGACCAAGAGGTCTCTGTGTGCATTATACGTTCTTCCTGCGTGCATGTATTTGCGTGTTTATATATTGTTGTTTGTATGCATAATTCAATAAAAACAGACTCAGGTGAAGTGGCAGATGCTCTGTGATTTGTGTGATGTTAAAATAGCCTGAAGAGTGACAAGGATAACATTTCTGGTAAGGATGTTAAATTTAGATCAATCAACTAATTGAGTAGTCGATGTAATTTGCATCGACTATTTGATTTGTTAAGGGCACCTCTGCTTCTGAAAGAGCCAGCAGGACTTCAAAGGCAAAGCATGGTCTCAAACAGTCCCCCACTGGCTCCATGCTCCCTGCTTTTGAAATGTACAAGAGAACCAGGAGGGCTCTCTTACATTTCAAAAGCAAAGCACCGCTGGGAGAGCAGGGTCAGCTCTCCCCAGGCTTCCCACAGTGCTTCTGCTTTTGAAATGTAGCAAGAGCTCTGCTGTCAAAGGCAGAAGCAGCACCAGTTCCCCGCTGTGCCCCTTTTCCCCACAGAAACAGGACTGGGTGAATCGGATTTTAAGATGGCTCCCCTCAACACTGGATCCTGCCCCCTTCCCACCTTGCTGCCTCTCTGATAGAGGCAGCAAGCAGGAGATAAGGGAGCGAGTAGTTGAGTCACTAGTCGACTAACTGATAAGTATTTGCTTATTGGATAATCAGCTAGTCACTACATCCCTAGTTTCTGATCCACTTGGTCATTTCCTTCTAGTTTATGGAAAATCTAGAGCAAGATTGACCAGTAGTGACAGGGCATGTCACAAATGTGTCCCAGAAAGACCACCTGGGCAAAGGCCAGGACCTCTGCCCCCATCCACATGTAAGAATGTTCCTTAAACTCTTATATATCCTTATAGAATGAACTGGTTCAGTGTTTCCTATTTAGGCTGAAGTCTCCTACATCTTATGTAGAAGGGGTTAGTGTGTTGTGGGAGAGCTATGGATGGGAATAGGAAACTATTATTTCTTTGCTTATTATTAAGAAATTTGCATTACAGTTGCATGAATGTTTGTTCAAATGTGTGTTTTGTATCTGAACTCCACTAAGCTCATGGACTTGCAAGGGTTTTTCTTTTCAAATATCTGTTCTGCTTGTGCTAGTGGAAAATTCCAGATTAAGTCAACATTGTACTTTACCAAGGGGTGTTATTTCCCTTGGGATGCTGGGGTTATAGATCCCTAGAGGCTGTAAGTGGAGGAGGCCTTCTGAGACCCTAGAATTTTACAGGCTCTGTGAACATAGCTCATGTATTAGAAGCTTCCCTGCTTCACTGTATGTATGCCTTCCTCCCCCTTCCCTCTCCCCCCACAGTGATGATGAGCGATATCGCTACTACAGTCGAGAGCGAAGCTATGATTTTGAGCGGGATTACCGCAGAAGTAGAGATCGGAGCAGAGAGCGGGAGGATCGCCACCGGGAGCGCAGGCACAGAGAGAAGGAGGAGAGCAGTAAACATAAGTCTTCAAGACGGTAAGTTTCTGTGTTGGGGGAGCAGGATGTTTAAGTGGAAGTGGATCTTGGCTCAGGACAGAGGTTGGAATATCTACAGTCCACTGTGACATTGTTCAATATCTGATGCTTCAGAGGAAGGCAAAATCCCCATCAGTAAATGCATTTGGCCAGGGATTCAGAGCCATCCATGGTAGAGGGAGGGTTGTTTTGTATTTCTATGTGTTCATGTTGTACATACTAGTAGAGCAAGGCTAGCTGTGGGGATCTGGCAGAGTGCCATTTGTAGTCCCCCACATTGGTTCCCAGCAAGGATATTGCTGGCCATGGACTCTGCACCAGGAAATTCCAACTTCCCATGAAAAGCAAATGTCAGACTCAAGAGGAAGGGAGAACTCAGCTGAGCTCTGCTAAAACAATGGACCTGTCTGCTGCGAGATGCCTGTCTCTCAGTATGTCTTTTTCCCTCTCCTCCACATGGAGATAATGCTCCTCTCATAAAGACATCACCGTTGGAGTAGATCAGGATGTTTGTGGATCTTGGCTCCTTCAGAGCAAAGTGAACATTACTCCTTGAACGAATCTTTCCCAAAATAGCACTCCCATCAACCAAATAGCCAGCCTAAACTTTAGTCCAGCCTCCGACTTCTGTATTAATATGCGTCAGAATTCTAGGAGCTGCTCCGATACCACAGCAATGAGCATCTTGTTAACAAAGGAGGTAGATTTTTTTCCACCTAAGGGCATGTCTGCATCTTACTTTGACTGACCTCCAACAATCACAGTAGTTACTGTGGTAGCTCATGTCCACACTGCCCTCTTTGTGTTCATGGTGGTGCCCTCCCCAGGAGTGCTGCCACTGACATAATAGGTCGGTATGTGGTGAGAGCCTGGGCTCTTGGCTCTGATATTTGTATCTCTGCCCCCTTAAGACACTCTACTGCTTCCAGGCTTCCATCTGGGAGTTGAGACCTTGGTGGTAAGTAGGTTGTAGCTGGAGCCCTCCATCTGCCCTAGGGTGGCAGGTGGAGCTTTGAATGACTTTCTTGTCATTTGTGAAAGTCAACCAACAGCTGATGTAAATATCGCAGGGTCTGTAGAGACCCTGCATTACCCTAACTCCACTGACATAAGCCTTACACCTCTCATGGAGGTGGAGATATGGAGAGGGAGAAAGGTCAGTGTACATACTACATCCTAAATTAGGTTGACACAGGCTGCCTTATGCTGACCTAACTGTAGACCAGGCCTTAATGTTTTAGGCTGGTTCTCTGCAGGAGAGACCATGCCTTCTCTTCATGTAATTGATGCACTTGCTTTTGAAAGTTGTATTAGAAAAACCTAGCTGGAAACTGGAGGCAAAACCCTATTCTCATCTTTCAGGATGCACAGGAATTTCAGTAAGAGGTATTGACTGTTCTCTTGCAGTAAAGGAAGGGTTAAAATCACACCAAAGGGCGAGGGCCACAATGAAAACAAGATGGAAAACAAATGGAAGTAGTGCTATTTTAATAACAAAACTGGTACCCAGGAGATTTGTTGTAGTAGAAATACAGGAAATCACAGGCAGCATCGACTTGGCTGAAACATTGCCAAAAGCGATTAGAGTGCTTAGATAAGGAATTAGCTATAGAATGCCAGATGGAATTGACACATTTAAATGGATTTTCCTCATGCTCTCAAACAGAAGTAGAATCCGTTTCTGGGACTGCCACGGATATGTTAGGTGACTTTGGACAGGGGATCTCTCCTGTCTCCCAGGGTGCTGGGAGGCATAACTCCCTGTGCAAGAAATGCTGTGAGCAACTTTGTGGGAAGATATTAAGTTAGCAATGTTCCAAAATTGGCTTCATTTTATGATGATGAAAACTTGGTGAAAGCAGATTAGAAACGGGCTTGCAGCCTTGTGATTTGTACATAGGGTGTCAGTATTCAGCAAGAGGTGCGCCTCCACCACTGGGCTTGAGTGCCAGTTGTAATAAGAATGTACTATACATACTTTGTATACACAGTGAATACATCCATGTGATAGATCCATTGGGAGTTACTTGTCTGCACTTCCCCCTTACACAAAACTGCTGCATTGGTTTGTCCATCCTTAACCCCCAGAGCAAGTGCAGTGCTCATTTTCTCTTTTTCAAAACAAA